AAAGTACTTAATTGGATAAGAATTAATGCTGTATTGCCTACAATCGCTTCGTAAATAAGTCATTATTTCTCATAAAAAGTAAAGGATAAAAATGGTTATTGTGGGTTATCCCTAAGAGATAGACATATACCATCACGGACTGTTTTGTAGACCTTATTAAGATGTACAATACAGTACATTATATTGATCTATCTCGTAGGCTTTAGCCAGCGTTTGCAATGTAAGCGCAAAAAAATGTGTTTATTTACGACATCACATTACAGACCTCTAAAATTATCAGTGTTTCTTTACTACATTATGCATGTATTATACATGTAAACCTTCCTCTTGAATTACTCTATCTATTAAAAACAAAACGCATTAAAATCCGTTGCGTAGTTTTAAAGATCTAAGCATACATATGGACAGACAGCGGGAAGTGACTTTGTTTTATACTATATAGTGATAGTGATAATGATTAGTTAGGCAGATCTGTGACGTAATAAGTATGGTTTGTCGTTGTTGATGTTGTCATCTCTCGTAGTTTAGTGATTAGAACATTGGTGCGTAAAGCCAAATGTCCCGGGTTCGATTCCCGGCGAGGGTATGAAATCAGCAACAAATTTTCCCTTGTTAACCTGAGGTAGTGGGGAAAAATTGAAAATAAATTTTCACTTTAACAAATTCCTCTCTTATTATAAAAACTACTTTAAAAAGTAATAAAATTTCTCCATAACCACAGTCAAAAGACCTTCATAAACCCATGAAAAAAAAAAAATAGTGAGATTTATAATTAGCTTCATTAGGAGGGATCAAGAGTAAACACTGAACTTAAAATAATACCTGAGAATAATTGTGCATATATAAGTAAAGTATCTGAAGTAGATACGCTTCTTATTTAAATCAGTACGTAATACCTTAAGAATTAATTAGTTTGTGCATGAATTCGTTATTATTTTATGCAAATAATTGAAAACACGCATATCCATAATATTATCTCACCAGGTGAGTTTCCCATGGATTATTAACAGTAGCACGTGATTGTTCGCCACGTGTTGGGCATCAGAATAACTACATATTATGTATCAACATTAACCGTGCACGCTCTCAACAACAAATAATATTCTTGTGCAATCACAGATTTTTCT